AAAGTACCAGGGCTAGGAACACACAAATGGGAAGAACAAGACCCCTAGGGGCCGGGTCCTTGGCTGCACCCCCTTTAGTGCATGTGCAGCGCACCAGGCAGGGTGTGGGAGGGGCAGCTTCTCCTGCCAGGCTCCTACAATTGCTCAGTCAGGTCTGAAAACTCACTCAGGAGTCTTTAACCAGGGGCCAGATTCCTAACATAATTATACACAAACTCTTCCAGGAAAAAAAAAAAAAAAAAAAGGAATGAGGAACACTTCCCCTCATTTTATAAGAACAGCATCATCCAGACAAAGACTTAAAAAACACTCATGAACACAACTACAAATCCTCAAGCAATCCTCTAATCCACCAATATAGGAAAAGGATAAGAAATGATAGCTGAGTGGTTTAACCTAGAATGCCATATTGGTTTAATAACTGAGAATCAAGCAGGGTAATTTATTATCATCATTGGACTAAAAAACAACAACAAAAAAAACAGATCATAGTTGAAAACACACTGGACAAAATTCAACACCCAGTCATGACAAAAACAACAAAATTGCTCAGAACTAGGATTAGAAGGGATTTCCTTAATCCAAGAAAGCAAAAATTGCCATATTTTTCCTGTTTAAAGGCTAACGAGTAAATATTTTCAGCTCTGTGGGCCAGACTATCTCTGTCACAACTCCTTAGCTATTATTGGATTTTCAAAGCTGCCTAGACAAAATGTAAACAAATGGGATGGCTGTATTGCTTTATTTACAAAAATAGGTGGCAAGCTGGATTCACCCCGTGGAAGAGATAACACTACAAAAAGAAAAAAGAAATCCCATATTTAATGACAGATGGGCTTATACTTATTGCTTTACTATGCAAGTCTTAAATGAGTCATTTAAAATACTCACATAGCAATTTACTATTCTTTGCATTCCTAGGGATTAATCAGTACAGAATATTAAAGGCCCTGATGTTCAGATCCAGTATGTACATGATAAGGAAATGCCAATTCTTCATGATAAGTATGTTTTTTAAACTTCCTCTCATCAGTCCAAGTAATAGTGATACCCCTATAGGATTTCACAGAAACAAATAATTCATGACATTATAAATCTGTCTACTGTGTCCTACTCCACTCTCAATGCCTAGAAGACAGAAACAAAACATATTACTCTAGAACACATCACTTTGTTCCCCTCCTAAAGAACTCAGTTTGTTACTGTATATGTATGTGTGTGTTGTGTGTTTGTGTTGTTTGTGTGTGTGTGTGTATATATATGTATGTATGTATTTATATACATTTATCTTTCTTAACAGTTGAAGCTAACCCAAAATGTAATAAATACCATAGGAGTATAGACCCAAGGAGGTATTTTCTAAAATCAGTTTTCATTCAATTACTTTCTACTCCCATTATTGAATCTGGTTATCTCCTAAAATGTGAAAAAATAAATTACTACTAATGATAAGCCATTTGCTCATTTAAATGTGAGGTTCAACAAGTAATATGTTATTAATCTCTTTTAATGCTGAGTAATATTCCATTGTGTGTATATACCAAAGTTTCCCTATCCATTTATCTATTGAAGGGCATCTGGGTTGGTTCCAAAATTTAGCTATTGTGAATTGTGCTGCTATAAACATTGATGTGGCTGTATCCCTGTAATATGCTGTTTTTAAGTCCTTTGGGTATAGACCAAGGAGTGGGATAGCTGGATCAAATGGTGGTTCCATTCCAAGTTTTCCAAGGAATCTCCATACTGCTTTCCAGAGTGGTTGCACCAATTTGCAGTCCCACCAGCAATGTATGAATGTGCCTTTTACCCAACATCCTCACCAAAGCTTATTATTGTTTATATTCTTGATAACTACCATTCTGACTGGCATGAGATGAAATCTTAGTTTTGATTTGCATTTCTCTAATTACTAGAGATGTTGAACATTTTTTTCATATATTTGTTGATCGACTATGTATCTTTTTCTGAGAAGTGTCTGTTCAGCTCCTTAGCCCATTTATTGATTGGACTGTTTGGTTTTTTTGCTGTTAAGTTTTTTGAGCTCTTTGTATATCCTGGAGATTAGTGCTCTATCTGATGTGCGTGTAGTAAAGATGTTCTCCCGCTCTGTGGTCACATAATTGATTACTTCTTTTGCTAAGAAGAAGCTTTTTAGTTTGAATCCATCCATTTATTAATTCTTGATTTTATTTCTTGTGCTTTAGGAGTCAAAAGTCAGGATTCTAATCTGACATGAAGTTTGGGCCTACTTTTTCCTCTATTAGGCACAGGGTCTCTGGTCTAATTCTGGGTCCTTGATCTACTTTGAGTTTTGTGCATGGTGAGAGATAGAAGTTTAGTTTCATTTTGCTGTATATGGATTTCCAGTTCTCCCAGCACCATTTATTGAAGAAGTTATCTTTTCTCCAATGTATGTTTTCGGCTCCTTTGTCCAGTATGAGATAACTATCTTTATGTAGGTTTGTCTCTGTGTCTTCTATTCTGTACCAATGGTCTACGTGTCTAATTTGGTGCCAAGACTATGCCATTTTTGTTACTATAGCTCAAAACTGCTTTATTCTTTAAACCCCAGAATGAAAACAATCTAAGTGTACATCACAGTGAACATGTCCACAAATTTTGATTCAGCCATACAATGGAATACTACTCCACAATAACAAGTAAGGAGCTACTGATTAAGCTACAATGTGAATGAATCTCAAAAACATTACAAGAGTAAAGGAAGCCAGACTAAAAATGGACTATCTATTCTAAAAGGCAGAAATCCCTGGCATCAACTGGGTATCTGTGTCCTGTTAGTCCTTGGCCAGTGTCAAAGCACACTTTTATTATTTTTACAAAAAATTCTACAATTCTAGCAAAAGCTCATATGGGTACTTATAATCTGCTGTACAAGTGAACTCCTTAAACTGCCAGAGGCAAAAAGAAACATTTCCAACAGACAGAATGGTAAGAAAAGCCAAAAGTGTATCTAAAGTTGAATTACTTTGTTATATAATGATCCTTTTCTCACTGTTTCTACTTTGGTAAAGTCAACATAAAAAGCACAACTACCTTCAGATGAATTTAGTACTTTTTACCAAGGTCAGATTACTAGCATGTATTATACTAGAGCTCTACAGGATTCTAACCCACAAAATTTGAAATTATATCTTGAGAATCCCTTATGGTGAAGGGCTTGGAATCTGAGTATTTTGGATTTCTTCAGGTTTTGGAATATTTACATATACACAAAGTGATATTTTGTGGATATCATTGATACTCATATACACATTATACATGTCCTGAAAGTAATTTCATACAGTATTTTTGGTGTGCCTGCATTTTGACTGCAACCTATCATATGAGGTCAGGTGTGGAATTTTCTACCTGTGCATCATATTGGCACTTGAAAAGTTTCATATTTTGAAGTTTTTAAGATTTGGAATTAGGGATACTCAATCTGTATTTAGAGATGTATTAAACTGAATTTCTAAGTCAAGTCAGCAAGATAGAAGACCCTCCCACTATCTTAGGACCTAATGATTACCAACAGTTCCTTTAATTTTCACTATCAGTAAAGTGCAACCAGCAAGCCCCTTCTTGCTGACTGGGGCTCTACAGGGAAAACAGTAAGCTCACCTGGGCATACTGTTCCAGAACTATGGCCGCATCACTGTACTTCCTCTGCTCGACGAGCTTTCCTGCAAAGATAATATTTCACAATATTATCTTATGCACTTTGTAAGTCTCTGTGAAGGGAGTAAGTACACATACCATGGAGTCCTATCTGAAACAGCAGTTAAAAAATCTAGAAAAAGAATTTGCAAATCATATAGTCAAAATTAACCTTCAAAATGCATGCATATGGGAATTAACAGGAAGAGGCTGCTGTTTCTTTGGTTGAGCACTAGATGGAGGTAGATGGCTTATGTTTGGGGTCATACAGTGTCCTTAGCTCCTAGAATCAATCAGCCCAGATGAGATAAATCGCCCTACGAGGGGCATATGTAACCCACATCTTACTAAGAGGCAGGCTTATCGCCCATCTCATGCTCACTCCAGGGCATATTATCACTTAAAAAAAAAAAAAAAGGTAGGATCATCTCCACTATTTAAATCGTTTTCTTTCTTCTGTTAGTTTGTGTAAACTGCCTCAGGTAAATGGGCACACAAAGTGACCCCACTGTACAACAATGCTCAAGACCTCTGCCCACGGCCCAGCACACCTTTCACCTCAGAGAGTCAGGTATGCTCCATCACAGACATGGTAAACAGTAGGCTAAGAGTTGTAAAGAATATCAGAGAAGCTACTACATCCACCAAGAACAGAGCTCAAAGGTATGAACTACCAATAGTGTATATTTCTAAAAAAGTAATGATAAAGCCAGAATAATAAAAAGGCCCAAAATAATTATCAACATTTGTAAAAAGAGGGATTATAGAGAAGCCTACAGATCTTAATAATCAGAATAAGAAAAATGATAATATCACACATTTTCTAATCCCACAGAAAAAGGAATAATACAAATAACAAAAGAGAATATGTATATAAATTCAATAAGCTATAATTAGGAATTTTTTCAGGACAGCTTATTTTCTTTTGAAACCATAACAGTGTTTACAAGGCTTTTTGAATATGGTTTATCCCCTCAGAATCTCATGTTGGAGTTTAATCCCCATTGAGAGGTTAAGATGTGAAAATTTAATCCAACTATGGCATTTAGAGGTGGGACTTTGGGGACTTATTAGAATTAGATGAGTCATCAGTGTGGATTTTATGATTGAATATTAGTGGTATTATAAGAAGTGGGAGAGAGATCAGAAAACACACACACACATGCACACACACTCACAATTTTTGTTTGTTTGTTTGGTACCAGGGATGGAACCCAGAGACATCAGATTTTTATTTTGAGGCAGGGTCTTACTAAACTGCTGAAAGTCTCATTAAGGCGCTGGGTCTGGCCTTAAACTTGTGATCCTCCTGCTTCAGCCTCTGCAATTGCTGGGATTTACAGGTATGTGCTACTGCACCTGGCTTCATTAACACACTTGGAAGCACACTCAATCTCTCAATGTGACAGATGCGCATACCCCCTCAGTACTACCAACAAGAAGGCCATCAGCAAATGCGGGCCCTTGATCCTGAACCAGAACTATGAGCCAAAAAAACCTCTTTTCTTTACAACCCAGTCTACAGGTAAGTGATACTGTTCTATTAGCCACAGAAAATGGACTAGGAGAGAAAGGCAGGGACTAAATATACCAGTCATTCCTTTATTTCAAGCACTGCTGAGAAGGCCAGGGCCCTACTCATCTACTCTCACAGACATCCTCACCCTCTCCTCCACTCAAAGAAATCAGACCCTGGTACTAACCCTAATCCCTAGACCCCAAAGCCAGCAACCTGCCTCCACTCTTTCAGGCTGCTTATACATTTGGCCTTTTCCTACACTCCATTCTTGGAAATTTCTATTATGGACTCCAACAATCAACGTCTATGACAGAATGCCTCCATCCCAAAATCCATCGTTACCTTTTTACATGGCACATGGCCACCCAGCTACACTGTTAGGTGTGGCCACAGATAGATGTTTGGTAAACGATAGAGTAGAACAAACAGTGTAACTTCTAGGTCATTTCCAACTTAAAAATAAATGCCTTCCTATTACTCTCCGCCACTTCCCCAAGAACTGGAATATTAGATGGAAAGAGAACCAAGCTGTAACCATCTAAGAAACTGACAGGCTCACGTACTAGTCCTTACATGAGAGAGAAACTACCAACCTGCCTCCACTTTCAACAAGAGTCCCAAAATATAGCATTCTAAAGAAACTACTTTCTTCAGAATGCTATATTTTGGGACTCTTGTTGTAGTAGTTTAACCTTTACCCTGCTTTACAATAGATCATTCTAAATTAAGTTTTGTCAATGAATATGAGACTGACTCAATGTATGCTGCCTCAAATTTATTTGCAAAATTTCCAAACCAAACAATAGAAAAAACCTTTTAGAGAAGTAGAAAATAAATGACTATGCTCACCTGCCAGAGTTCTACCAAGGTCAGCCAGCTGGTCTTGGGTCAAATCAAGCTGAGCTGCCACACAGAGGGCTTGCTGCCAGCTGCCACAAGTCAGAAAGGCTGAGAGCGCTTTAGAGTGGGCACCACAACGGGCAAACACAAGCCCCGCTGGCTCATGCAGCTGCTCCTGCACCAGGTGCTCCCCATAAGCAATGCTGATAGCCTGTGACAACAGGAGATAAGATGGTAAGGAAATGTGACAATTTCTTCAAGCTTCAGAGTAGGCTGCCTTAATTACTAATAATTGAGTCTCAGGAATCACTTGGGAAAACCCTATGGTTGACAAGTTAATTCAATCATTTTCCATGCAAAACCTTACTGGAGATGTACCATTTATTTATTCAACGATTACTAGGTACCTACATATGCACTACTCTAGCCAGTGAACACAGCTATGCAAAAAATAAAACCAAACAAATGATAAAACAAATAAGAACTGCCACCAAGTTCCTGCTCTTATGGCAACAAAGAATGAATTGCCAGATAAGAATAGGGTCCTCCGGGAGATCAATGTTTGACATCTAATAAACAATGGCTTTCTAGAGAAGACAATTTCTACAAAAATTCCTTCACATGAAGGAAGGGCAGGGCAGAGTGCTGGCAGAGGCACTGTTACACAGTGTAACATCTGTGGAACTATCTCCAAGTAACAGGGACTGTGGAGAGTGGAAGAAGCTGGTGCTACCAAAACTAGCAGGAGAGGCATATGTGTAATCTGCAAATGAAGAGAAAATCCCAACATCAGCATGCTGGTTAATCGCAGGGACTTGGAGGTCAGCCTGGGCCCCATATCCCAGGTCTGCTACTTTGTAGCTATAGCAGATTGTGTCCTCATCTGTAAGTTGCCCACAACACCCTACCAGGTTATGAGGATCACATAATACATTAAGTTTATAAGCAAAGTTGTTTGGAATATAAAAAAATGCTAAATACTTATTAAAAAAAAAAAAAAAAAACACTCCCACCAAACCGACTCCCTTTCTCCTGAAATTAACAGGAAACGTGTATTTTTCAAACGGATCATCATACAGCATGAGGCCAGACCAGAGGCCAGACAAGAGGAGGGCAGGAGGGAAGCAGCTATGATGTTCTAGGTGAGCAGTCAGGGTCAACCCCTTGGTTTCTGCCCCGAGTGATTCTTCATGACAGGTCGGGCCATTTCCCTAGATGAGAAGTTCAAGATGAAGCTAACTAGTGTCAGGACAAAACTGGAAACCAAGGACATTATGGTCTCAGGACCCTCACCCCTTTCCAACCAAAGCACAAAGCCTTATTTCACACACCTGGTACTGCTGGGAGTTTGGTGGATATAACTTCAGAGCTTCCTTATACAAATTTTTATCTTTTATTAAATTTAAGCATTCTGGGAAGTACTCAGGTCCTGCAGGAATAAGATTCACACAAACAAGGTTTAAGATTTTGGAAGCAAAATGGATTTCATTTCTACCAACAGTCCCCAAACAAAATTAATGTGGGACCTTTTTAAGACTTTACATAAACTAAGCACCTGGAGAAGGACTTCAGGAATTTTTAATGAGCACCATTGCAGATTCTGAGGCAGGAGAAGCACTGATTGGGACCAGCATTCTACTAGGAATTCTTCCCACACTGTTCACCTGGGGAGCTTATTAAACATATACCTTGGTCCTCCTTTAGACCAGCTGAATCAGTCTCTCCAAATAAGCCCAGAGCTGAATGCTTAACAAGCACCCTAGGAGATTCTTCCTTGTCCCCAGGTCAACCTCAGTATAGAATCCCAACTGCTCCAGCACAGGTCAGGGACCAGGTGAAGGAGATCAACAGGCACCGTTCTTTTTCTACTCTGTCACTACCAATTAAAACTGTGTCTTCTCAGGGCACTAGACAGGGCCCTGCCACCCACTCCAGACATGTCAGGGTTCCTTCCCGTGGGGCCAACACTATCAGAAGGGTAGTATAGTGCTTTGACTGAGGTACTGAACTTAGGAGGTGCTCATAACCCAAAAAGGATCTGATCTATGTTCCTGGGTAGGAAGCACCTCCTAGCCAATTTGGTGTACCCCCAGCCTTTCAGAAAATAAGGCAAAATAAGGTGAGTAGACAACATGGTTACAGGTTTCAGGAGTGGAAACTGAAATCAAATCAGTCTCTTTCTAAAATAACCTTTAATTCATACCTTGCCTGGTTCCAAAGAAGATTTGAAGCAAAAATAAACATACTAATCCTCAAGCTTACCACACTTGCTGAGGTGGCCAATGGCCTTTTCAAAGCGTTTCAAGTGTTTATCTATAGTGAACCGCTGGTAATTAGTTTCCATTTTCTTAAGTGTATTAAGAAATGGAAGATATTCTTTGGGATCCTAAAAAAATAAATGAGAATATTATTACTTTTGATATTTACATATGAAAATAAATATATAACATTTAACCATAGCAATAAACTCAGAGCAATATGATTTTAAATACATTAGTGCACTATTGTGTTAATTATATATTACATAATTACCTAAAATCAAACTACATTGAAGAAGTTTTGGTAAAAATGCTTTCCCATATAGTGTTATTAGTTCATATATGGAATAATAATGTCTACTCCTTAACTACGTCTCAGAAAAGCCACTCACCTCACAGGTTTAGGAAAACAAGGTTGTACTATATAAGTGAGGCAATTAAGGCACCCAAGTTTCTCCTAACAGTGCACGGCACTGCTCTTGATACTGTTTTCATGACATTCTGTGTCCCCCATTTACAAAGAGCACAGGTAAAACAAAGGTAAACCATACTGAGTTGACACAAAACTTAGAGGTCCTACGGACCTAGCATTTATTGGCACTACCCATCTTCATATCATTTCTAACCCTGGGCCATGCCCTAGAAGTCAATTGTTTTTCTTCCTGAAGAAGAAATGCTTTCTGTTCATAAGACAAACGGATGAATACATGTAACAATACTGGGGGAAAAATGGAAATAATTAAATGCTCATGACTGTGATCTGGAAGTAACTTGGGCCAAATTATTTCATCAATAAATATTTATTAAACATTGGATAAGTATAAAAAATGAAACATAGCCCTTCACTTCAGGAAACGGCTACTGTAGGAGACTATGCTATGCAGGGATAGGCCCTGGGTGCCACAGAAGAGCATCTCACCCAGTCCTTGAACAGGGGCAGGGCAGGAAGGGGTTACTAGGAGAGAACTAGCCAGGCTACCAGGGTGGCGGCAGTGGAAGCCTATGCCCAGGTGGCAGACATAATGCTACCTAAATAAAGGCAAGTGGCAGTGTGCAGTGGGGGAGGATAACAAAGCACTGCCTGTCCTCCATGGGCAAAGAACAAGATGTGCTGAGAAGAGAACAGAGAGGTACACAGAGGCCAGATTGCGGGAGGGTTCCAAAGCAATGTGTTGACTCCTAAACCACATCCTAGTGGAAATAAAGAGCTCATGAAGAATTTTAAGCAGAGAAATGAAGGATCAGAGTTTCTATTTTGGAAAGAACAGTTCTAGGAAGAGCAAAGAACAAATTAATAGGGGAAGAAACGAAGACCTAAAAGAAAAACTTAAAAGAAAAAAAAAATGGTGCTCAAACTTTTTGACTGTAGCATATACACAAAGGTGGAAAAGAGAACTGCAGTGGAATATGAAGTACTCAGAACATTTCCTTTACAAGATAATAGTTCACACATGTGCGTATAATGTATCTTAGAAATAATGACATTTTTTTTTTCACCTCCTCAACCCCAGAATCAAAACACTTTGATAAGCACAGAACTACGTCAGAGGATGAGGCTAAGTGGGTGGGCTCTAGAGACTCACAGATCAGCCTCAGTCCTGTACCCATAGCTTATCGACAAGACGCTGTACTCCCAGAAGCTGGGGTTCACGCTCCTATGATTATACAAACAAGACCCCAAATGATGCAAAAGCAGTAACTCCACATACCTTTTGTGACTTTTCGGCTACCATGAGGACCAAGTCAAAGTCATAGGTCCCAAGAGAATGATCATATAATTCATTAACATCCACCAGAAGCAGTAAGTATTTTAAGGCCTCCTCTGCACTTACGGCATCAGGAACAGATGGAGCATTTTCTGTTGGTGTTTCAGAAAACAAAACAGATCAGAACCTGGGGACAAAACCCCACAGACCTAACAACATGACCAAAAACATGGAGTAATAAGTTTTCTGACAATTGGGTACCAGATGAATATATATTTTTGACTGTTTTGTCATGCTTTGCAAGGCACCACTCAAAAACAACAACAGGTCTTAAAATGGTAACCAAAAGGCCACATGTTACTCTGGGATGTGACATTATGAGGTGATGGTCATCTCAGAAGACTAGTGACTACTGAGGCCATGTTAAACCCTCTATCTATGAGCAGGTCT